CGATGCACGCTGCTCGTCAGGCACTTGAAAGAGAAACCAGCACGGAAAAGGGAACAGGGCAATAAATAGCCAGACCAGCCACCGCTAATACTCGTCCACACCCACCAGGAATACAAATGTTCCTTTAAACACAGGATCACCGGGCACTTAAATCACACCAGGTCCCGCTACCGATCATCTGTCCAGAGTTTGACTCGCTCCGTCTTTCCGTTCTGCACCCACCATCTCTCGCACACTCCCCCATATACATTAACCAATAAATCAATTAAACACTCACACGTGCAAATCACAAATTTCACACAAACCACATCAAAATCAGAAGCACACGTGATCCAATATAAATAACACACCCCAATCAAGAAAGAAATCAATAAAATAAAACATCCCTCCCCTTCTCCCTCATATTGCCTGACATTTCTCCCCCCAATTTAATATAGTCGTCCCGACTAGTTCTCCTCTCGATACCTAGGGAGCGGTATACCACGTGTAGCCCTGATGGACTGACGCAATACAGGAGCCTGCTGAGGGCCCGCACAAGTGGCAGCACTTCCATGGTCATCTTCTTGCCCTTCTTCCCCCTCTTCCCCTTGATCTACTGGGGCAAGGGGTGGCATCCCACCCGAACCAACTGGTTGTACCAGTCCGCCACAACTCTCCAGTGCATCAACCTCATCCGGTGGGGCAGCTCTCTGATAAAAGATCAACGGTCGATATCCCCTAGCGGTCTTTGAGGGAACTCCACCTTGGCCCCCAACCTCTCCTCCTGTCACCTCCGAATGGGCCTGGGGATAAGTCAGAGGGCACACCCGCAAGTTATTCCGATGGACTGTCTGAACGGGTCCCTCCTTACCTTCTGGCCAAATTAAATATACCGGCTGCCCAGGCCGAAGCTGCAACACCACCACATACGGTTCCAATCGCCATCTGGGCGGCAGCTTCCCCTGGGCTCGACGGCGAAAATGACGGAGAAGCACCCGTTCCTCAGACAACAACTCCACCCTGTAAGAGTCCTGGAAGCTTAGTAGGCCATTGGGCCTGGGTCTGCGCCCTGAGGGTTCCAAGCAAACTCAACAGCGTTTGATTAAACCTCTCACAAGCCCCATTCCCCTGTGGATGATAAGCCGTTGTCCGCTTCCTCCGGCATCCATACAGCTGGCACAGCTGCTGAAACAAATCAGACTCAAATGCTGCCCCACGATCAGACAAAATATGCTCAGGACATCCAAACACCAGAAATAATCGTTCCCATACGGCTTGAGCCACTGTAACTGCTGTCTGGTCCCTAGTGGGCACCGCTATTGCATACTTAGAAAACAAATCCGTCATCACAAGCACTTATGGGTAGGGTTCCTCTGGATGACCCAATGACAAAAAGTCAATCCCCACAATCTGAAATGGATAGGAGGTTTTAATAGCTTGCAATGGGGCCCTTACTTCTGCACCAACTTTACCAACAAGGCACTGGGGACATACTGCCCCACAAGCTACCATATCTTGACGCATCCCACACCAGAAAAACCTCTTTGCAAGTACTGACAATGTCCACTCTGCACTGGCATGCCCCATATCATTATGATAGTCCTCCCACAACACCCTAGCCTGTGCCCTAGGTACAACTATCTGAAAATTAGTAGGTTCCCCAGGACCCTCTCCTTGCTGTTGATGCTTCAAAATACCATCCCTCAGCTCAATCTTAGGCCACTCCTTCATTAACAACCTCAAACTGGGGGAGGCTGAACTCTGTTCCAGAAGGGAAGGGTTCTGACCTTGCTCCTTCCAACAAGACAACTGCTTCAGGTTTGAGTCCTGTTGTTGCAACTCGCTCCACCTCACTACCTCATCGCTTTCCTCATCCAGAGTCTGAGTTGCCAGCCGCACCTGCACACCAGCCCGCTCTCCAGGTAGTCTCGACAAAATGTCTGCAGTCTGATTAATACGGCCCGGTCGATACTTAATCGTCAAGCGATAGTTGGCTAACTGCGTGGCCCACCATTGCTCTGTCGCCCCCAGCCGAGCCGTCTCCAGATGAACTAATGGATTATTATCGGTGAACACCTCTACCTCCGCATTCCACAAATAATCCTTAAACTTTTCAGTGGCAGCCCACTTCAAGGCCAACAACTCCAACTAAAAAGAGCTATAGTTCTGGTCATTCCGTTCTGCCAGATGAAAACTGCGGCTTGCATAGGCGATGACCCGCTCCTGTCCACCCTGTACCTGGGCCAACACTGCCCCCAAACCCTCCAAACTGGCATCAGTATAAAGACGGAAAGGCAAACTAAAGTCCGCATAAGCTAAAATTAGGGCATTCAGTAAAGCAGTTTTAAGCTGTTGGAAAGCCTGCTCACACTGTTCCGTCCACTCCACCGGGGCAGTCTTGGAGCACGAAGCTGTACCCTGCAACAGGTGGGTCAATGGGGCAGCAATTTTAGAAAATCCAGTGATAAACCGCCGGTAATACCCTGCGAACCCCAAGAAAGACCGCACCTGCCGAATGGTATCTGGAACTGGCCACTCCTTAACAAGTGCCACTTTTTCTGGATCTGTCGCCACACCCTCTGAGCTGATGACATGACCAAGGTAAGTAACTTGCTGCTGGAAAAACCTACACTTCTTAGACTGCAACTTCAACCCATAGCTCTGAAACCTTTCAAATACCTGCTCCAAGTCCCGCAGATGGTCCTCAAAACTCAGGGAGAACACAATTACATCGTCCAAGAACACAAGTAAAGATTTGTTTACTAACCCTCCCAGACACCGCTGCATAAGCCTCTGGAATGTAGCTGGTGCATTACACAGCCCAAAAGGCATGCGCTCAAACTCATACAGCCCTACTGGAGTAGTAAATGCTGTCTTCTCTCGATCACGCTCCTCCATCTCCACTTGCCAATACCCACTGGCTAAATCCAGGGTAGAAAACCACTGCCCCTTTCGCAAACTTGTCAGGGACTCCTCTATGCGAGGCAGAGGATAAGCATCCTTATGGGTTACTGCATTAACACTAGAACCGCCGTTTCCCACACCAATGGGCGTCACACTCCTCTAACCGCCAAGCAAGACGCTCTTCGGCGTATGCAGCCCTTTGTTTGTGCTAATGTGCCATTAGTGTTAACATCAGCGAATCTAACACCCGCAACCAAAAAGCCGTAATGTTCCTGAAAGAGTGGCTTCTTTGTCGTGAAATTGTAAACCTGAAACGCGCAATGGCAGCATTTTATAAAATGTTAAATAGACAGTTTATTAGTGATTTTAAATTTGTTGAAGTGTCTGCTGTTTAACAACTGCAGTAAACTATCGCTATTTTTATACAAATCAACCCAGGTGAAACACTTGATTAAAAGAAAAGTTTTATTTGAAAATAATCCAACTCAATCCAATAATCCAATCCATAAAATCCAACACAACTCAATCCAACTCAAGACTACTCGCAATCTATACACATCTTTGGTGGCTTTCGCGAACAACTACCACAGACATACCGACTGCATTTCACGCAAGTCTCTTTGGTTTTATTTCGGGTGCATCTGCCGACCTGGCACTGCGTAAGTTTTCCAGGCAGACGAGTAACACAAAACGATCGCTGAATTCGTGCTGTCTGTGTAGCATCAACTTCCTTGTTCAATTTGTGTTGCTCACGAAGCTCCCACGCCAGGTCCATAATAAAGTCCCTCCTACTCTCTGTAGAATTGACACATTTCTTGTACAATATGAATGCGTTGATTGCCACCAGGTCCAGAATGTTATAAAAAACAGCGACCGGCCATCTTCGGGTTCGGGTATCTTTAAATCTTCTAGCCTACTAGGCAACACCTCCCCCGATCCCTACTTCGCCCCTGGGGCGCAGTCCGCACCACCTGAACCTCCACAGTAGACACCACCTGCTCTTCCTCCAGAATTCGCGCTTCTGCCGCAGCGGTAGTAAACTGAAGGTGTGGATTTCGTCTCAACATTCGCTGAATCTCTTGTCACACTGGCCCTTCCCGTAACCCCAAAACAAACTGGTCCAGCAACAAAGCTTCCTCCTCCTGCACACCTTCCGGATCAACTCCCTGTCAACGAGTGTAACACTCTCGCAGCCGCAATGTATATGATGCCACCCCTTCTTCTAATCCTTGTCGACACTTAAAAAAATCCACCCGCATCTGTGCAACAGTAGCAGTACTACCATATAAATTCTGCAGGGCAGAGAGCAACCGCTCACCATCCACCCGTTCCCTTCCGGGAAGGAGAACCACTTCCCGGCGTGCTTCACCATCTAGTGCACTGATAATAAAGTCAACCTGCTGCTCTCCAGTCAAAGGCTGAGCCTGCAACATTGCCTTCATCTGTGTCTGCCACTCACCATATTTCTGTCGCTCTCCACTAAACTTAGGTATCCACTGCATACTAAAAAACCAGGGCATTATCACGGGAGAGGCTGGGGGGGCCGTCATTCTTCCCTGAGAACCTGCAGACCCTATACGGACTTGCTCTCCTCTACCACCCCCGGTAACTATATTCTGATGGTCCATACAAAAAGGGGTATCCTGCCGACTACGGCAAAAATGTCAGGGGGACTAGCTGAACCCCTTCTTCTATAAGCAGGTGCTAAAACCCCAAACCACAAAATATTAAAATGGTAACTAGTTTATTATATTACAAAGATAAAACCCAGAAATCATATATTCCAAGCTCACAAACCCACAACAACCAAACGAGCAGGTAAATTTCCTATAACCCACCACAGCACTACACAGCAAAAAATAGAATATAAAAATAATAATAATCCACACACACCCACAAACCAAAAAAAGTTTACATGGGCCCATGATAAAACATAAAATGTATCCAACAGGGTAATTGGAAGGAAGTCCACAATCCATCGATCGTCACAGCTCCAATCTTCTTAATTCAGAGCCGACCAATTAGACGACTCCTCGATGCACGCCGCTCGTCAGGCACTTGAAAGAGAAACCAGCACGGAAAAGGGAACAGGGCAATAAATAGCCAGACCAGCCACCGCTAATATTCGTCCACACCCACCAGGAATACAAACGTTCCTTTAAACACAGGATCACCGGGCACATAAATCACACCAGGTCCCGCTACCGATTGTCTGTCCAGAGTTCGACTCGCTCCGTCTTTCCGTTCCGCACCCACCGTCTCTCACACACTCCCCCATATACATTAACCAATAAATCAATTAAACACTCACACATGCAAATCACAAATTTCACACAAACCACATCAAAATCAAAAGGACACGCAATCCAATATAAATAACACACCCCAATCAAGAAAAAAATAAATAAAATAAAACATCCCTCCCCTTCTCCCTCACATTGCCTGACAGGAGCAACTACTGCTAAGGCTTCTCTTTTATCACAATGTTGAATATACTGAAAAAGTATATCAAAGTAATTTACCCTTTTACCTTTGGATACATTGATAGACAAGTAGATGCAGGGAGGAAGAAGGGCAAAAAATATCAACTGAGTTAACATATGCTATATAAGAGTGCTGCATTCAATCAAAGCCGCATTCAATGTTGAATATACAGTGGTACCTTGGTTTACGAGCATAATTTGTTCCGGAAACATGTTTGTAATCCAAAGCACTCGTACATCAAAGCGAATTTTCCCATTAGATGTAATGGAAACTGATATGATCCGTTCCACAACTTAAAAATATTCATATAAAAATTATTAATACAAAATATAAAGTAAAATTACATAAAACAAATGAACCTGCTCTTTACCTTTGAAAAGAATCGTGGATGGTGTGAGGGAGACGAGAGAGGAGAAGAGGAGGGTTATTTTGTAGGTGGACATTCACTATAATTAACGAAATCACTGCTATCTGTTGGCTCACTGGAATCTTTTTCTGTTTGTGCGACTTTAACAAGGAACCCATCCAATGACAGCCTCTTTTGCATCCTTTTCGATTTCGCAAAAATGTGGACAATGCATTGTCGTTAAACAGATTCATCGCTCGCACTGCTACGCCCTTATTCAGGTGGTGCTTTTCTACAAAATTTTGACTATACGAGTGAGGCATGCCGACTGAGACCGACCATGGGAGACGATTACCCACAATTCCGCAGCGTGAGAAAGTGAATAACCATTGGTTCAGTTGTGATGACATGCGCTCGCCATCAAAACAAGAACCGCACGCATGCGCTTCCTGTTTTGAAGTAAAAACGTAAAAACAAGAAAAACAAGGAGCGCATGTGTGCCATATGATTTTTGATGATACTTGGTGCTCATAAACCAGGACTTGCTCAGTTTCCAAGTCAAAATTTATTTAAAATCTTTGCTCGTCTTGCGGAACACTCGTAAACCGCGTTACTCGTAATCCGAGGTTCCACTGTACTGAAAAAGTATATCAAAGTAATCTACCTTTTTACCTTTGGATAGATTGATAGACAGGTAGATGGAGGGAGGAAGAAGGGCAAAAAATGTCAACAGAGTCAACACATGCTATATAAGAAGGACACAAAGCCAGGGGAGCAAACAGCTACTCACAAACTAAATGAAACCCATGTAGTGGGCAGGATTCGAACCTGCGCGGGGAGACCCCAATGGATTTCTAGTCCATCGCCTTAACCACTCGGCCACGACTACCTAAGCTTGGCATCAGTTTTTCCGTCGCTGGGACAGGCGACGGAAGTTTAGCGTCACTGCATTATTTTTGAAGACAGATGGCAGTTGCCGCTTTACTTCCAAGGGCTAAAGAAATGTCAGAAGTGGGATTCGAACCCACGCCTCTAGGAGAGGCTGCGATCTGAACGCAGCGCCTTAGATCGCTCGGCCATCCTGACTACAATCAAAGGATCCTTGATGTGTCACAGGGAAGCCATAAGGAGATAAGGAAAGTGAGGGAAGCTGGCCATGCTAATAGAGATGTTGGTATGAAGATGAAGGTGGACATGGTGGTGGTGGTAGTTGACACTGCTCATATGAGGACCAGGCAGGAAATGGGACTGAGGGTGGTTGACCCTGTAGGTCTAAAGATGAGGCAGCAGTGGTAGAAGCTGTTAATTTACACTGCTCATATGAGGAACAGGCAGCTGGTGGCTGATGACTCAGCTGGTATGAGGATGAGGCAGAAGCAGCAGGCCATGCACATGACCCAGGAGGACAGTCCTGTGCATAACCAGTTCTGACACTGTGGCGCCGGCGTATCACTGCCTCACCCTCACGATTTTCAACAATTCACAATTCACAATTCACCATCCCCCGCGGCTCCTCACATCAACCACTGACCACCTCCCCCACACCAACTGCTGGTGTGGCATCTTTGAAGCCTCACACCCCACCTCTTCATATTCATGAGGAGGACGTTAACAAGGTCCTCAAGAAGCTGAACCCCCGCAAAGCTGCAGGTCCAGACTCAATCTCCCCGTTCACCTTAAAACACTGTGCTGACCAGCTGACTCCTGTGCTCACAGAAATCTTCAACACCTCACTGGAGTCATGCCATGTGCCAGCATGCTTCAAGACATCAACCATCATCCCAGTACCAAAAAAACCTAAGACAACAGGACTAAACGACTACAGACCCATTGCTTTGACGCCTGTAGTTATGAAGTCCTTTGAGC